AACATTTTAAACAAAAGGAGTAACATTTCAGCCGAATGAAATGATTACGTACATAACACGGAGTTACACAAAAACGCGATGCTTTTGAGTTTTGGAGATTCCCTTTGGAGGTGCATCATTCAGTTGAGTTGCTGGAGTTGAGAATAGCTGAAACAAAGAGTGCGGGTAAACAGTCTAGGTTCACTGAATGCTCTTCTAAAGAGTTTTGACTTTATCCTGTAGATTACCCAAACAGCAGGAATTTGAGTAACACCTTCTAAGTTTTTTTAGAACATATCTGCACACCTCTTCTATTATTATCTTTAAACATAAATGTTAAGTTAATTTTCACTTAATTTCCTTAAATAAAGAAAATTATTTTAAAGTGGCCATGCACCAAGTAAAAATCATCTTTCACACACCCTGAGGAACTCCCTCCTTATCTGAGAAGCACTGCTATAGGTCACCGAGAGCAGTCAGCAAGCTTTACTTGGGGGTGTGACATCAAGTAACCAAGAGTAGTTTGTAAAAAAGAAACAGGAATACTACTGGAGACAGGGGGACTAGTTATATGGGCTTTTGCTGTGGTCCAGGCAGGATACAATGAGGACCTGTACTAATACAGTGGCACTGAGATTATAAAAGACAGAATGTAAAGGAATCGATAGGACCTCTTCCCTCTTATATCCCTCATGTGTTCCTCCCTGGAGAATGTGGGTTTTTATCCCCATAAAAGCGTGTCTCCGCCCATAAAGCATAAGATCAGGAGTCTATAAATACAAGCTCAGCAAGAATTCAGCAAGCACCACAGTTTTCACTTTGCAGAGGAGCCTCAAACTTCAGAAAATAGTTCAGATGCATCCAAAGTTCAAGCTCTACCTCTCCAGGAAAGGTAGAACAAGAGCACACTTCGCTAAATTTAGTCCAACCTAGAGAAGCACATGCAGTGAGTCTGTAAGTTTGGCAACAGTACATCCTGTGAAATGATGTCCACATCTAAGAATAGGGAATCCCATAGGGAGGACCAGAAGGTTCCATTGCCCACTGGGTTTCTCCTGTGCATTCAGTCTGATTTCATGCCTGTTACTCGGGCATGTCAGTTTCTCAGGACTTGGCTGTGATCTTTTCAGAATTACCAAAATATTACGAAGAGTTTTATATAATACCTCATTCAGAAGAGTCATATTTTATTCTCAGAAAAGAATCAGTGCTATCCAAGTGGAAGTGGGACTCGAAGTACTTAACCTTCTGCCTAGAAAGATGACTTGCATAAGAATTATTAAAAAATTCAGTGGTTTTGCCCTTTTGTAATTACTAAAGCATAAGACAATGTGCCATGATCTAGCATAACACAGTGGTTTCTGTCTAATGGATTTTATGGCCTTAACCTCCTTAAAAAAAAAAAAAAGAAAGAAAGAAAACAGAGATTCAGAAACCACCAGGATGATCAGAAGGCCAATACAGGAGCTAAAAAAAAGGTTGGGGGGGGGGGAATGTTTTTGAGAATCTCAATAGTGGGTATGGGAATAAATTGTCACCAGCATTATATTTATTTTAAGGAGCTGAATTTGGTGACTTAGACATTTGAGGACGAGCTCTGGGGTCCTTAACACACCAGCGAAGACCAGACCACTTCTTATGTTTGTTCACTGGACATGGTCAACACAGGCCATCCGTCTTCTCTAAACTGAGTCCAGACACACTTGAACCCTGCCATTAACTCTTTAGAGCTAATGTTAGTCTTAACCTTTCCATATTTCCAGTTTGGTATTCATACTATAAAGATTGGGCAGGGATTTTGTGTGTATTTTCACTTAAAAATCGAATTGTGGTAAATCAGATGACCTGAACAAAGGGATCCCAGCCATTGTCTCTGTTGTCTATATTATAAAGCAGTTCTCATAATGGAAATTTAATATTTGTTTTCAGCAACTTATTCTCCTTATCGGATTTTTCTTGATTTTTCTTCAGATCTTTCTTGGGTCCAGTTCTTGTGTGGCTCTAGTTATACAGTGCTGAACTAAAGGAATCACCTGTTGCTTAAATTTGCAATGGCTAGCTATTGTAGGGAAAAGGGAAGAGGGGTGTGTGCTAATATGTGAATGTAAACTCCACGAGGGCATACATTGGATCTAGCTCATTAATAGTCATATCTCTGCCATTAAGCAGAATACATTATAGCAGTAGATAGTCAACAAATATGTCTTGAATTGAATAAATAAATGTAAAAACAAAGTGAATGAAGGGGCATTCTTTGGCTTTTGCTAGATAAGTTTACATGCGTTAACTGACAAATCCAAAGTATGGTTGGCTTGCACTAACAGAGGTTTACTTCTTGCTCAAGTTACAAGTCAACTGCAGTCCCCCAGTGGCTCAGTTTCTGATCTCCTCTTCATCTCAGGATCCATGGAAAAATAAAATTCCCATCTGAGACAGGCCATTCTCCTGGCAGAGGGGGAAGGAGAAGGAGTAGATGGAAACACATTAGATAGAGCTCTGAAAGAAGCTACTCTTCACAGCTACTCACATTGCATTGGCCAAAGCCAGTCACAAAGCCATGCCTGGCAGTGGGGTTGGGGACATAAACTCTGACTCCAGAGGGACACTGTGGTGGTATGGGTGTGTGATCTGCTTACGCAAAAAAAAAGCAGTGAATCACTGAGGTCTGTAACACAATCTACCACAGAAGGGAATTATGAAGTTTGAGAAATTGTAGGTTTCTCAATTTTAACATTATTGCCTTATAGCTTATTCTAAAAATAAGCTAAAGAAAATCCTATCTGAAGTTATTTATGTTTTATATAAATTTATTGAAGTACTTTGCTGAAGACTTGCTTCATTTCATTTTACACAGGCTTTTCGGGGTTATAAATAGTATTACGTGACTTGGGGGAAAATGATACTTAATTTGATGGTTAGGGTTTTTCATAAGAGATACGTGGAGATGGGAAAGCTGGTCATGTGTACTTTTTCTCTCTGCTTTTTGATCCGAGTCAAGCAGCTTCCATTTTGTTTCTTAGAATATTATATTTTTAGTTTTTTTAAAAATTTTTTGCAAATCCCAGGCAGGAAATTTTTCTGTAAAACTTAAAATTTTTTAAAGTACTAATATTCATTGAGCTCTGCATGTACCAGACAGTGTGGTGAGCCGTTGGGTCTCTTTACTTCGTCTGGTCTTTATAATAATCTTATTACTGTTATTATAGTTGGAGATGGGGAAGTGTTAAGGTCCCACAAGTAGTGTTGGAGAGACCTGGGATGTCAGCTTACAACTGGATCCTTTACCCACTACACCATACTCACTGTGACCTTAATTTCCATGCTTGTCACCTCTATTCCTCCTCTGTAAACTTTAAAGAAGAAATAAGCACATGCTTATTAAAATAAACACATTTAAATGTTCATAAAATACAAAGACTGTCTATGGAAAGTATCTAGCAATGTAATATGCAAAATAGAGGTATTTATGGCTGGATACTTTCTGGACAGCCTTGTGCATATGGCATGGAAGCATTGATCTCTCTTGGACAGTCTGTGACACACCTTGGATAAGTGAGGCCACCATGGGTCCACCAGCATTTGAAAAGCAGAGCTGTGGGAAGAGAGAGTGATCGTTTGTAGTACTAATGTTGGTATTTCTTGGAATACTAGAATGGAACTGGGAAAAATAACTAGGAAAAAAAATGCCCAAAGGATATAAATTAAATCCTTAGAAGTTTTGCAGAGCATAGTTAGGAACTAGCTGCAGATACTTGAATTGTATATTTAAAAGCATCTATTTGCAAGAGTTAAGAATATATAGTAACATTCATCAGGTGGGAGGGGGTTGGGGGGATGGGTACATTCACACCTGATGGGTGCGATGTGCACCGTCTGGGGGATCGACATGCTTAAAGCTCTGGCTCAGGTGGGGCAAAGGCAATATATGTAACCTAAATGTTTGTTCCCCTGTAATATGCTGAAATGAAAAAAAAAAAATATAGATGATAACTATTTCCTTATTTCTTATTTTTAAAATTATTTTTAAGAGGTCAATAACACATGCTAATTTAGATTAAAAGAATCCCTCTCCTCCCTAATATTTATACAATGTACAGATATTGGATTATGACTTTTGTAGGCTTTATGGAAGCTTTTTAAAGAATAATACTGATTCATAATTTATCAATTAATTCCACATTTTATGTTACGTTAATAACAAATGATTTAACGAGCTCCTCTCTTTACATAGTCATCACATCTGGCCTGCCTTCATTCTTTCTTTGATATCCTTCCAAAATTAGGTCATATACAATGCTAGACTGTAACCTTGTACATGGGCAAGGACCGTATGGTACTCATCCCTCTCTTCGCCTTACCTATAATTCCTGTTCATCCTGTTAATTGTGAAAACCTGCTCGCCCTGACTTAGGGTCCATGTATCACGTGATTGCATAGCCTTCTGTATTGTTTTATGTAACCTATTCCACCTTTAATTACTCATTCAAAATTGCTCTTCCACAATGGACTATTGTGTAGTTGCATTTATCAGACTTCTTGGTAAGAGTAGTAGGTATTCCATAAATGTTGAATGAATGAATGAATTGATTTCATACTAATTGCCATGAGATAGCTTGTATTTCAATGAGATAATTTTTTTAAAAAATCCAGCAGTCCTGTTCTATATATTGTGTTATTTAAAATCCCTTCTTCTCTGCCTCAAGCAGTAGGCCATTCATTTCTGCTACCTGTCAAACATATTCTCCAGTTAACCCCTACTTTCATAAGGCTTGGCCTTCTTGAGCTATGCTCTTTAGGCTCTTTTCTTCACAGAGGAAAGACATAAGTTAGTTTTTGTCTAACTTTCAAATAGTGATAACCCCAGTTTCTGTGTGTTGAAAATGTTATGGTCTGTAAAATGGAAATTTACAAACAGGTGTTTATTTGATTCCATGGAATCACTCACTAGGGATGTGCCTGCGGTTTTGCAAATTGTGAACCCCTCTCTTAATACTTTCTTTCTTTGTGTTTCCAAATTGTAGGGCCTTAAAGCTGCTGACAATGATCCTACAGCTCCGCCATATGACTCCCTCTTAGTCTTTGACTATGAAGGCAGTGGCTCCACTGCTGGGTCCTTAAGCTCCCTTAATTCCTCAAGTAGTGGTGGCGAGCAGGACTATGATTACCTGAACGACTGGGGACCGCGGTTCAAGAAACTCGCTGACATGTATGGTGGAGGTGATGACTGAACTTCAGGGTGAACTTGGTTTTTGGACAAGTACAAACAATATCAACTGATATTCCCAAAAAGCAAACAGAAGCTAGGCTTTAACTTTGTAGTCTGCTAGCACAGTGCTTGCTGGAGGCTTTGGCATAGGCTGCAAACCAATTTGGGCTCAGAGGGAATATCAGTGATCCAATACTGTTTGGAAAAACACTGAGCTCAGTTACACTTGAATTTTACAGTACAGAAGCACTGGGATTTTATGTGCCTTTTTGTACCTTTTTCAGATTGGAATTAGTTTTATGTTTAAGGCTTTAATGGTACTGATTTCTGAAACGATAAGTAAAAGACAAAATATTTTGTGGTGGGAGCAGTAAGTTAAACCATGATATGCTTCAACATGCTTTTGTTACATTGCATTTGCTTTTATTAAAATATGGAATTAAACAAACAAACAAAAAAAAACTCATGGAGCAATTTTATTATCTTGAGGGATGAGACCATGAGATTGGAAAATGTACATTACTTCTAGTTTTAGACTTTAGTTTTGTTTTTCTTTTTTTTTTTCACTAAAATCTTAAAACTTACGCAGCTGGTTGCAAATAAAGGGAGTTTTCATATCACCAATTTGTAGCAAAATTGAATTTTTTCATAAACTAGAATGTTAGACACATTTTGGTCTTAATCCATGTACACTTTTTTATTTCTGTATTTTTTCCACTTCACTGTAAAAATGGTATGTGTACATAATGTTTTATTGGCATAGTCTATGGAGAAGTGCAGAAACTTCAGAACATGTGTATGTATTATTTGGACTATGGATTCAGGTTTTTTGCATGTTTATATCTTTCGTTATGGATAAAGTATTTACAAAAAAGTGACATTTGATTCAATTGTTGAGCTGTAGTTAGAATACTCAATTTTTAATTTTTTAATTTTTTTATTTTTTATTTTCTTTTTTGTTTGGGGAGGGAGAAAAGTTCTTAGCACAAATGTTTTACATAATTTGTACCAAAAAAAAAAAAAAAAGGAAAGAAAAGAAAGGGGTGGCCTGACACTGATGGCACTACTAAGTGTGTGTTTTTAAAAAAAAAATAAAAAAAAAAAAGCTTTTAAACTGGAGAGACTTCTGACAACAGCTTTGCCTCTGTATTGTGTACCAGAATATAAATGATACACCTCTGACCCCAGCGTTCTGAATAAAATGCTAATTTTGGATCTGGTGACTGGTTTGAACTTTTTCTTTTCTACTTGAGCTGCTTTGAATGTTGCAAAAATTCCAAGTACTGGAGTTTTTGTTGAGAACAACGGTACAAAAGTATGTATTTGTTCTTGCACTGTTCACCACTGAAATGAGTAGCATGACAACCATGCCCAGTGAGCAGCAGAGAGGATCGTTTTGGATCTTATCATCATCATAGAAGAAAAACATCGAATGACCCCAGGAATAGACCCTACCGGTGATGATATAAAAATCATGCCCTTTTTAACTTCACTGAACTTCAGTGTTAATTCTTAATGTAATTTATGTTTTAATTTGTTTCTGCTCAAACTAATGGTTATGCTGAGTCTAACAAGTCTTTCCTGTTAGAGCCGCCAGCATAAGGGAAACTTCAGTAAATGGGCTATAGGACTGGAGCTGGAAACTACAGTGGACACCTGGAATTTTCCTCCAGTTCATTGAAGCCATTGTTTTATGTGCTTAGTGAAGCACATTCAGGTTTGACTGGCGTTTATTCAATGAATTGACCATTTGCTTTTGATATGGTGGCAGAAGACATAAAAGGAAACACTCTTGCTAAATTTTATAAAATTCTTGATGTGTCTCCATATGATTCATTAGTGAATATTAAAAGACTTGAGGAATTCTCACTTGCATTTGTCTGTTTGCTTCATAATCATTATCACACCATATACTCTTATACTGTACACTTTGAAAACATATAATATACCTCCTCTAATTAACTCTCATGTTTTTTGCTTAACATGAAAGTAATTTTATATCAGACAGTGAAATTTACTTTTTCTATTGATTCACACTGTAGGCAATACTTTCTTGTTACTTTTCTAATCATTAAATGTGCTGGAGTTTGCCTCTGGGAATTTCCATAATGAAACTTACTGAATTTGCTAACTGGAATAGTCTTTTCTAAAATTGATTCTTAGACTGTGTCTCTGTGCTGTTGTACATCCAAATAAAACTGAACTATCTTTTTGAATTCAGACATTGCAACACTGAAAATTTACATTATTTGGATCAACAAACCTGTTCAAATCATTTTTTTATGGTTGGTGTGCAGACACAGACCATATCTGGTGTGTGTGTGTGTGTACGTGTGTGTATAAACTTTAAGTGTTAATGATAAACATTTTATATGTATACAATCAGTAAATGTAAATGTTAATCTTTTTGCAGATGTAATACACAACTGTATTGCCTTTGTAAAAAAATTTTAACAGTAAAAGTAGGAAATTAATAGAAATTCGAAGACTCCTGCCCTACTACAGAAGGAACTTCTCCTTAGCTGGTAGATATAATTTCTAGCTCTTCTTCCAGAAAGCATTTCTATGCATGCATTTCCATAAAGATTTTATTTTGTTTGGTTTTCATGAAAACGAGATTGTACATTATGTATTATTCTGTAACTTGCCTTTTTCACTAAGTCTGTATCTTGGCAATTTTTGCATATTAGCATATATGTACATCTACCTCATCCTTTTTAACTGTGACATAGTATTCCATAATATGGGCATAAAAGTTTTATCGAACCATTTCCTAATTAATTTGTTGTTTCCAATTTTTTCCTATTAAAATCAATGCCACAATAAATGTCCTTGTGCATGTCTCTTTGCATGGGAGTATTTCTCTAATACTAATAGATGCTTGGAGCTGGAATTGCTGGATTAAAGAATGTGGAGAGAAGTTAATTAAATATGGCTAGAATTATAAATGTTTTAGCATGCTTCAAAATGCATTTTAGCTAAGACGAGGCTTTCTAAAAGCCAGCAACTTCCTCCTCTTGCGAAAGGATTTTATGCAGCTCAAAATAGTAACCACAAAATATAAGACAATCTAGCCAAGGCTTTATTCCTTTTTCTTTGGAAATTAGACTTTTAGTCAGGCCACAGTACTAGTTGCAAGTACTCTGTAAAATTACTGTAATGATGTGACATCATAAAACCTTGAAAGCTATGTATTTATGAACATGATTTATGGACCCCACCCAGAAACATGTTTTTCTAGGCCATTCCTAGATTTGGACCTCTTCTATAATTAAAACCATGCATACAAGTGCTACAGTGCCTGTAAAATAGGTCATTTTCCATGATAAAAGTATGGACACTTCAAAGTTTAATAAGACATTGCCAAATTTCCCTAATTAAAGACTATACCAATTTACACGCCTACCAGCACTATCTACAAAAAAGCTATTTATATGCATTTTTCATGGTCTTTTGCTAATCTAATGAATTCTCTTATAGAAATTTGCCTTACAGAAATTTTTATTTTTATGTGGTTTATTCTCAATATGTTTCAGTGTAGATTTTTGAGGTCTTTCCACCTCAAAATTATAAATTATTATCCTATATTGTTTTCTTTCTACTGTTTTGCATTTAGCTTTCTAATTCACCTGGAATTTATTTTGTACAATGTAGAAATATAACTTTTACGAAAATTTCTGGATACATGGTCTGTTTTCCAAATACAACTTGCTAGAAACTTCAACCATAACCCAAGCATGTGAAATACAATCTTTATCATATATACACAATTCCTATATAAGCATGTGTTTGTTTCTGAATCTCTTATTCTTTTCCATTGATCTTTTGTTTAATTCCGGCACAATACTAAATTATTGTGCTAGAATGTCAGTTTTGACAAGATACTACCTACACTGTTCTTTTTAGTCAAAATTGCCTATATACTTTTTCCACATTTTCTCTTCTACATAAATTTTAGAAACATTTTGTCAAGTTTCATGAAAAATTTTATTCAAAATTCTATTGAGTTGTGAAAAGATAACAGTTTCATTTATTATCCCATTCAATGCTATAATCTCTGACTTTTCAGATCATATATATGTACTTCATTCATAGAGTTTCACTAAACATCTCATTTTATTATACTGTTATTTCATAATTTTCATTGCGATTATGAGTGGGCTCTACTTTCATATCATTTTTTTCTCAGGATTCCTTTACTGGTCTATTGGAAATTTACCAACTATTATTTCTCTTGTTTGTATCTTCACTCTTGTATTAGTTCTATTAGCTTTTGGTAATTCTCTTAGATTTTCCTGATAGATAATCATAACTGCAATAATGACAGTTTTTTTTTTCATCTTTCTAAGGTTGATACTTGTTTTCACTGTACAGTTAGTAGAAGTGATCACAAGCATTATTTTATTGTTCCCGACTATAGTAGGAATGCTTTGTATATTTCACCATTATATAATAACATTTACTATAGGTTAGGTTTATACCTAGTTTGCTTTGAGATTTTTGTGTGTACCTGTTGAATTTTACAAAATGTATTTTCTTCATCTACATAGTGACTATGTATTAACCCATTAATATAGTGAATTATTCAATTAATATCATTAGATTTTCTAATATTGAAACAAACTTTCCTATATGTAATAAACCATAGTTGGTCATAAAGTTATTATTTTAATGGGCTGATATATTTGAATTGCTGTTATTTTACTTAAGAATTTTAAATTATTTGTGATTTTCTTATGCTTCTCTGTTTTTTCACTACCCTTGTTTGTTGTTAATCTCAGATTTATACTAGCCTAAAATAAATAATCAGGAAGATTACTTTTTTGCTCTGTGCTGTGGAATGGGCTATATAAATCGCAATTATCTGTTAGCCAAAAAATTGTTTTAACTCTCCTATAATTTTACCATTGTGGGGGATAGGTTTTCCTCAGTAAGAATGAGCGTATTCAAGTGTTACATTTCTTTTTGACAAATTTTCACAATTAACACTCTCCTAAAAAATCTGTTTCATCAATCTTAAAAGTGTATTGATAGAAAATTGCATATGCTATTTTTTTTTTTTTTTTTTTTTTTTTTTTTTTTTTTTTTTTTTTTTTGAGACAGAGTCGCAGTCTGTTGCCTTGGGTAGAGTGCAGTGGCATCATAGTAGCTCACTGTAACCTCAAACTCCTGGGCTCAAGTGATCCTCCTGCCTCAGCCTCCAAAGTAGCTGGGACTACAGGTGTGAGGCACAACACTCAGCTAATTTTTATATTTTTAGTAGAGACCAGGTCTCACTCTTGCTCAGGCTGGTCTCTAACTCCTGACCAACCACAAGCAGTCCTCCCACCTTGACCTCCCATAGTGCTAGGATTACAGGTGTGAGCCACTGTGCCTGCTACCTTTTTTTTCTTTTTCTTCATCAGAGTAGTCAGTAGTCTTACTTGTTGTCTGTCAAAGAACCAGTTTTTTGATTAATTGATATAGAATATTTATTCACTTGGCTATTGGGTGCACATTTCTCTAAGCCTATTAACTTGTTTTTCAGATGCCTAGTATTTTACTTATTTTTGGTCTATCAATTTCTGAAAGAGGATTATTAACATTTCCCACTAGTATTTTGGATTTGTATATTTTCAGATCATGTTGATATGTGCTTAAAACTATTGGATTTCAACTTTTACCTATAGAAAATATCTTGCATGGTAACTATCAGTGCTTTTAGCCCTAAAGTCCACTTTATTCAATATTAATTTAATATACCTGTTTTCTTTTTTCGTTTCTGCCAAATAATATCTCTGATTTTAGCCTAATATAACTTGGTCCATCTCTTTATTGTTAACAACCTTTGATTAATTTTGCTTTTCACATCTTTCTAAACAACATATACATTTTAAAACTTTATTTCAGTGTCATTTTCAAACAGGTAATGGTAGATTGGCCAAAACCACAGTATTTACAATGATTTTATTTTTGCAATTTGCTGTGTTTGAAACCAGTAATCTCCACTTCTGTAATTTGAGATGTGACTTCAGAGAACGAGAACAAGGCTGTCACTGTTCCCACAGCTTTTCGGGGTATCTCCAGGCCACCAGCATGTCAACTGACCTCCGTGTTATAAAAAACAGAAGCATTAAAAAGCCAAGCCTCTTTCCCCTTTTTACTTCATAGCTTTATAGTTGTTCATTTAAGATCCGTTATAGTATTTTTTTCATTGAGGGAAAACAGTATCATTTGCATA